TTTAGGTTTAGATTAGGATTTCAGTTGAGGTCAGGTGGACCTGGCCCTGGCATCATCAGGGCCCACCCCCACTTTGTTTATTTATGTGGTCTCAGACTCCTCGGGTTCTGTCCTTGAGGGTCTAACGTGGCGGTGGTTATGTCAATTCGGCCTAACAGTTACAAATAACTCATCTTCAGGTCTTTATTTTATTTTCTTTTTTGCCATAGAGAGATAGAAAGTGAGAAATCAGCCCATTGCCTCTCTGGGGAGAAGGGCACACTGCAATCCCTTGTCCTCCATTTTCCTCTTAGGATTTTGGGCATGCATGCACAGGTGCCTGGTGCATTTTTTCAAGCTGCTAGGTCCTCTACTGGAACCTTGGTGGACCATGTGGGAGGCCAGTACCTTATCCACCATGCCCCTGATGGCCCCATGGGTCCTTATTCTTTAATGGTAATTGATTCCTCAAGAGGCTAAACACTTTTAAATTAGAATTTTAATTTTGAGGGCGGGTAATTCATATGGTACAAAAGTCAAATGCCATGAAAAGGTGACTTTTCCCTCCCATCTCCTGTTACCTAACGCAGCAGGTAACTATTGTTGTTAGTCTCATTTGTCCTTCCAGGAAAGGCGCGTGCACACGTAAGCCAGTACAGATATTTTCTCCCTCCTTTTACATAAGTGATGAGTTATTGCATTTATTGTTATTTTGGTGCGTGGCTTTTTCCGCTTAATGTAGTTTAGAGCTTTTCTCCTCTCCCCCCAAGTCAAAGTGTTTCATTAAAGATCTTTTTCATAAACAGTCATGGTATTTCAGGCAGGACATGGGCAAACGAAGGTTAACAGTATACAGCAACGTTCAAACTCCTTTCTTCTATGGACTAACCAAATCAGAAAGCCACTGTGAAAAACAAGGAAGTCTTCCTCTGATGACCTGAACAGGGAAAGTTTAGAGTGAGGATTGACATTTCACATTTAGGATGCTGTTTAACAACCTTTTACAAACTGACTCTGACTTTTGGGAAGCAAAAATGGTAGAATTATTGATCTCATGATCAACAATAGAGAAAAGGAACTGCTGCTTTTTTGAGGAATGCCATTTTAATGTCATTGGCAAGTTCAGAGTGACTGACACGCTGGTAACCAATTTTCTGTGGTCAGGTCCCCAAAGGACTCTGGCTTAAGGGAACTAAGTCTATGCTGAAGGTGGAGAGGGGGAGGGCATAAAATCCACATTTACTTTTTCCATGCCACAAGGCATTTGTGCCAGTGTAGCTATGTGTGTCAACATCAGGGAATCCCTCCTCCTAGGAGTCAAGAGGAAGGCTCTCGAAACTAGAAGGGAGAGATGTTTTCTCTCAGATCAATCTTTGAAGACATTCTATTAGGGATGACTGCTTCACCCCCAAAACAGCAATGAAGTGCTCTGTATGCTAACAAAACCTAAAAAAAAAAAAAGGAAAAGCAAAATCCTGTATTTTAATAAAACTTGATAAATAATATTTCGAACTGTCCAGCCACCAGAAGTCCACAGTTATCACAAATGCACACACTGCGCTGGGCATCTCCAGCCGCTTCGGCTTTCTGTGCTCGGTCTGTTTGAACATCTCCATTTCCTGCAGAGTTATTCCGATCCTTGCTAGTGTCCGCTTTTCTCTTTATTCCTGTCAGGGATCTTCTCTTTCTTCTCTGCAGGGGCCGTTTTATGCTTGGGTTCCGGTTTTGGACGAGCAGGTTTTGCAGACAACCTTGCAGATCTTCCCTGTGGTTCATCCTTCACCTTGGCTTTACCTCCTCTAGCATTCCCGTCACCCCTTCTCTTGGGCGTGGTGGTGACCATGGTGGGACGCAGGCATTGGACGTGGGGGATGCAGTGGCATGAAGGCTTTGGTCTTTCTGGGGGTTGTTCTTGTCTCTTCGGAGCTCTTTCTGTGTTATTTTCTCTCTCATTTTTAATTGGATTATATTATTGCAGGTGACTATAGTAATGCACCGTAATAAATTTTTCCTGTCCCCTTTTATTGAAACTTAATTGTTTCCAATCCTTTGTTCATAGGAACAATATTATAATGAAAAATCTTTCAGACGGGTCAGTTACTAGGCATGCAAAGAACTGAATATTTCTGGCAAAAGAATCAATAAGTGGATACATTACACATCTGTAATTTTGAGAATTTGCCTTTGTAGTAATGAAGCAAATTTACATTCCTGCCAATATTATTTGAGTGCCAGTTGACTCATCCATGGAGAAAAAGAGTACTGTCACACTTTTGGAATGTTTTCCAGTTGGATAGGTAAAAAAATGGTACCTCAGTGTATTTTTTATTTTTAAGAGATTTTTTTTTGCTACAGGGTGTGTGCACTTGCTGGAGAGACAGAGAGGCAGAAAGTAAGAAATCACTCCCCCTCCCACCCCTGAGGGGGATGGCCATGCCACAATTCCTTCGCCCCCATTCTCCTCTTGGGATTCTGGACACACATGCACATGGTCCCAATGTGAGTTCTAAGCTGCTGGGTCTGGGACTCGAACAGCGGTCCAGTGACATAACCATTATATCCTCTGCTGATCCATGTTTGTGTAGTTTTAACTTACATTTCTCTTATGAATAAAGTTAAACATCTTTGCACGTCTAAGTATTTCCCTTTCTCTGAATCCTCTATTCATACCCATTGTTCATTTTTCTATTGGGTTGTTCTTTTGTACATTTGCATTGGTTCTTCCTTTTTTGAAGAATTATTTTTTATTTAACTTTATTTATTTATCTGTTTGTTTATTTATTTATTTATTTATTTTAATTTGACCAGAAAGGGACAGAGTGAGAGAAAGAAAGAGAAGGGGAAAGTGAGAAAGCAAACTACCAGGTCCAGGACTCAAACTGTAGTCGGCCATGTGGGAATCCAGCACCCTTAACCACCATGCCACCTGCCGGCCCCACATTTGTATTGGTTCTTTATACATTAGGGAAGATGTCTTGTTGTTATTGAGGTGAGTTGTACTATTTTCCCTGGATTATAACTGATGTTTCATCTTTACTTATAGGGTTGTCCATCCATACATAAATTTAGTTTTATACTGCCATGTTTTTTCTTTTATGAATTTGCTTTTTGTTACTTCAGAAAGGTTTGAGGTTATAAAATAATTCTTAGATGTTCTCTTCTAATACTTTTATAGTTTGATAGTTATTCTAGCACTTTTGGGTCTAACTTACTTTTTCCTCTGGGAAAAAAAAAAGTTTCGCTCGTGTATAATAAATAGTCCATCTTTTTTCCCTCCCCATTATGAGATGCTACCTTTATAACAAAAAATCCCATATGAATTGGGAACTAATTCAGGAATTTCTATTCTATTCCAATGGATTGTCTCTTCATATTATGTTACTGAAATTACATTTAGAAGGATGTATTTTTTTTTAAGAGAGATTTTTGCTATCGGGCACATGTGCTCGCCATAGACACACACACACACACACACACACACACACGTATATACAGAAAGAGAGAGACAGAAAGAGAGATTGAAAGCAAGAAATCACCCCCCAGCACGGGTGGCCACACTGCAATCCCTCTTTTATTCTCCTCTCAGGATCTTGGGCATGCATGCATATGCACCCGGTGTGAGTTTTAAGCCACTGGGTCCAGGACTCGAAATGTGGTCAATTGCACAGAAGTCCAGTGACAACCATTATACCATCTATTGGTTTCCCATTTAGAGAAGAATTTTAATCTCTGCAAATAACTTACTGTCATTTTTCTGCTCTAAAAAGAGTAATTTCTTGGTTCTTTATTAATTTTTACAAATAAAATTGACCACTGGGTCCAGGACTCGAAATGTGGTCAATTGCACAGAAGTCCAGTGACAACCATTATACCATCTATTGGTTTCCCATTTAGAGAAGAATTTTAATCTCTGCAAATAACTTACTGTCATTTTTCTGCTCTAAAAAGAGTAATTTCTTGGTTCTTTATTAATTTTTACAAATAAAATTGAGAATAATAATAGTATTTAAAAAAACCCAAACGTAGTGTATATATATATATATATATATATATGTATATGTATTTAGTTTTTGCTATAGAGTATGTGTACTCAGCAGAGAGACACATGCAGAGAGAGAGAGAAGGAAGAAGAAATCTCCCCACCAGCGAGGATGACTACACTGCAATCCCTTCTCCTTCATTCTCCTCTCAGGATTTTGGGCATGTACACACACATATCCAATGTGATTTTCAAGCTGCTGGTGTAGGACTCGAACCATGAAGTTGGTCATGGGACCCAGCCATCTTAACCTCTATGCCAGCTACTGGTTCTATTTTTTTCTTTCTAACCAAGAACAAGGTAGGCTTTTCCATAGGTTTAGGTGTTAGTTTATAATCTTCAAAAGTGTTTTCGGGCATATTTATCTACCTTACATATGTGTTATGTTATTAAATAGGTAAAATATAATCTTAGATATATGTTCCACTGCAAATGGAATCATTTCCTCTCATATCTTATAAATGCTATTATCACAACTGTCCGTTCCTATATGCTTACTCTCTATGCTATCAGTGTTTTCGGCCTGGTCTCTTGGTTGCACACTTGCAGCCAGCAGAATAATGAGTTCTGGCTCCTCCTTCCCAGTTCTTGCCTTCTGATTTGTTCTTGTCTGTCTAACTGTGCTGGCTAACCCCTGTAGTACAGTAAGTTAGATAAGGACAATAACACCCATCTTTTCCTTATTTGAT